ACCTTAAGCGCTTATAATATTCACAATCAATCTATAGTTTCTTTTCTGCATAGACAATGCCCTAAAAGGTTTTTTGGGATTTTGTATTCAAAAATCTCATGAGTTAGAAAGTTACAAGCGCGCTTGTTTCTGAGGCAGAAACATGTCTGAGGCCCTTTCTAGCGCACTCAAGCTTTCTTTTTCTAACTAACTGGAGAACTGAAGAAAATAATGTGAATTAACGTGCCAGGAAACGTATGTTTCCTAAGATCTCAGGTGTTTCAACTCTTTCTGTTTTTGCATCGTTTTGACTTCACCTAATTGTATGCGCACTGTAGTTTTGATTCATATTAAGTTTCTAATGTTTCGCTCTTATATTTCAAAAACTGTTTTCTAAACCGTTTAGAAAACTAAACAACTGATAGTTTTTAGGCAAACAAAAAGACCATTTTTTGCAAAAACGCAGCTGGACCATTTTTTGAAAAAACCCAAATGACACCATTTGCTTTAAACGCCGTGGTTCTGTTTTCTAAAAGCTGGATGGTTTTGGATAAAGAATAGAAATTGTAGGGTAATTTTCTCATAATGCAATGAAATTCATAGAGTACTAAGTAACATTAAAGTTTGAAACGCCAAGGTACTATTAACTGAAAGCTGGACAACTTTCTAACGGGCCACGATAACAAAGCAATATCCAAGTAAACTTTGAGACGCCAAGGTTCCAAAGTGAACGGCTAAAGTGGCGAAAAAAGATTGTTGGGATGATTGTGGGGAAGTGTTGGGTGGAAAAGGATGAAAAAGAAAAAGAGAATAATCGCCCAGTTTCTCCCACCTCTTTCTGATGTAGAAGAGGGGCAATCTGGGCAGTGTATGGAGTGAAGAAGATGGGCCATTGAGGGGTCGTTGTGAGGGGGTATAAGTGAATTTCGACGGCCTTTCCCTTTCCAGGCTTCCTCGTGAATCCCAAAGCCCATTCCTCTTTCACGAATCCTTAAAAATAAGAGATGTGACTTCGAAATGGTCACTATCACTTGACCAACCCTCGAGCTAAATGTAACTTTTTAAAGCATAAAGAAGTGAACCTACGGAATTGCTTTTAGATAGCAATCAGTACTTTAAAAAAATTCTTTACATAGAATTACAACTACTATTATGCAATTCAAATATGGACATCCAAATGGACATAAAGTCGCGCGCATTCGAGTTTCACTATTTTCACTAGCGCGCATTCGATTGCAAAAGCTGGAAGTGGAGAAGTTTCACTATTTCGGCCGTCTCTTCGAACGGCCGTCGCTGTACGGCGAGAAGCAAGCTTCTACAAACCGTACCCGTTCAAAAAATTGATTAACCTCGATGAGTTCAATAGAACTCGTACCGGAGATTAAGCCGATAAGAACAGATTTAAGTTTATTCAGACAATGTTGGGCATGGTATTGACCCCAGCCGGTCCATCACAATATTGAAGCCAATAAAAAATATAGAATACACCCAATAAAGAGATTGGGTTGCATAGGTTAAAATCATAGGAAAAACGAAGGAAAACACGGAAGTGGACAAAAGGAATTTGACTCACTTATGTAATCAGAACTCACAAAATTAATCACCTGAATATAAATGTTATGAAATCACAAAATTAATCACACAACTATAAACTAACGAAAAAACTATTTGGTTCAGCCGGGTTAATTTACGTCCTCTCACAATGTCGTTTGCGGGTCAAATGTTCCAGCTAGATGTCCCGGGACCATTTGATTGCGTCAGAGGTCATCAGCTTCTGCATGAGCAGCCCATATTTCACCGATATTTGGAGGCGTCGAAGAACGATCTCATTCAGGATGCACCACCCTCTCAGTGGGCCGACGATGAACGCGTCCAGAAAATGTCGAGCCTCTGGCCTCTGGCTAAGATCAATGCGAAGCTTTTAGGCTCTGGCTAAGATCAATGTGTAGCTTCTAGGCTCTAGACAAGATCAATGTGTAGCTTCTGGCCTCTGGCTAAGATCAATGTCTGGCTTCTGGCCTCTGGATAAGATCAATGTGTGACCGCTGGGCTCTGGCTAAGATCAATGTGTAGCTTCTGCCCACGGGCTAACAACAATGTGTGGCCTCTGGTAAAGATCAATGTGTAGCCGCTAGGGTCTGGCTAAGACCAATTTTAACTGCTGGGCTATGGCTAAAATCAATGCCAAGCTTCTAGGCTCTGGCTAGGATCAATGTGTAGCTTCTGGCCTCTGGCTAAGATTTTGCTAATTTTGTTAATTTTATTAGTTCCATACTTGACTTGATCTTGTGATTGGCTTGACTTTCAATAAAATGGATATTGCCAAATTCAATGAAAAGATTCGAGCCGGTTTGGGCACACCACGTGCTTTATGGGCTAGAGCTGGAACACAAGAAAGAGCAACTCCGGGAATCAAATCCGCAAGCTCCGGTTCGAATCCCGTTTATTAGTTGAATGCTTTACCAATGAGTCAGACTGTGGATAGCGTCGAGGAGCTCGGGCGGATAGACTGAAAGTCGGGAAAGCCTGGCTTTGCCCATGGCTAAGGTAAAGGCAAAGTGAAAGCTTAAAGAGCTTAGAAAGCTTTTATTGAAAAGTAGACAGCCATAGCCGGTCTATTAGAGCTACCATAATCTACCATAATCTTGCGGAGGCAAAAACTCTAGAGAACACTAGGCATCATTTCTCTTCGTTCAACTGCTAGACGAGGGTCTCGTGATGCTGAAAGCAGTCAAATTTGGCTAACATTTCGCTCTAGACTTGCTAGAGAGCTAACTAGAATAGAGCTTCGATGTGTACTTTGAGCTCCCGTCGGCACAGCGTAAACGCACTGCATTTGGCGCACTCACAATCTCAATTTTGCGCGGAGAAAGATGGAAAATTCAGTGAACCAGAAAGGGGGCGTTTACACGTTTGAGGATTGCAAAAATCGACCCCATTTAGCCGCCGCGTACTTCGAGAAATCGAAGATAAAGAGAAAATTGCACTGACCGGCTGATTGAAAAGGAAATTTCACTCGATTTTCAGTCAACAATGGTAAAGATAAAAGTGAAGAATTCTCATAATTTTTAACCAAAAAAGAGTCATGAGTTTTCCTTTTGCTGAAGTTTTGCTTATCTTCAAGCAAAACGACTTTTCAGTTTTCCTCTGAGTTTCTTTGAGAAAACCGTTAAAATTGGAAGATCTCTTGCGACTCTTCTATGTTTCACGAAAATTCACTCAAATGGAAGGGTCAACCAAGTTTAGAGGCTCAAATTTCGGGAAATTCTTTGATCTAGACACATCAATTGTTGTCGATAAATGCAAATTGAATGCTAAATGAATCAAAAAAGAAACTGCAACTCGTCAAAGGTGTTTCAGCTTAATTTCACGTTTCGAAAGCCTAAACATTGCAAGATCTAAAGTCTTTCGAAAATCTAAAAACTTAAAGCTGTAATCTTTACCTTCAGACTTTATCGATGATTTATAGCCCTTAAAATGCTTTAGATTTTCCTATTTTGCTGGAGTTGCAAAAATCGGAAAATGTCCGTTTCTTTTCAGAGTTGTCAAATCATCGACAAGGGTGGCGACTGTGCTGTGGTGCAACAACAAAGCGGTATGTTTCATGGATTGTTTGGGTTTCAGAGTTCGGTATAAAAATCTTTGATATTTGATAGTTTTCATGGCATAAACTCGAGATTTAGGATTCAATGTCAACATCGCAAGTCAAGGCTGTACGACTGGGGCATATTACACGTGCCAAACAAAGCCCTGCACTACGGATTTCTATTGTGTTTGAAAATTGTTGTTGATAAACGTAAATTGAATTCTAAATGAATCAAAAAAGAAACTGCAACTCGTCAAAGGCGTTTCAGCTTAATTTCACGTTTCGAAAGCCTAAACATTGCAAGATCTAAAGTCTTTCGAAAATCTAAAAACTTAAAGCTGTAATCTTTGCCTTCAGACTTTATCCGATTCACTGAATTCTGACCTCATGAGGAATCAAAATGTGAATCAAACTAGATCAAAAGTCCATAGAACGTACAAAATCAGAAGAAAGGGTCGTTAAATCAAATCAAATCAGTAGTTTAATCAAATCACTCAGTTTTTAGAGCACTCTATCGGCAAGAAAGACAAAGAAAGGCTTTATTAGAAAGGTTATAAGTCTTAAAATCTTCTTATTAGAAATATTAGTTTTTAGTTTGTTCAAAATTGTGTTGAAAATCGATGAGTAAAACTGATTCTTTGAATTTCGAAAAGTGAGGATTTGTTTTGGAGTGACCAGTGTGGCTACGAGTGTCAAAGTTGAACTGTAGTCTTTCTGAATTACCGATTTACTTGACCACTACGATTTTGACTAGTCTGGGAAACATGGGTTATTTCCAAATATTTTCGTGATTCTAGGCGTGGTAGTCAAATATCCAACGAACTCCGCATTCTTTCAACTCTAATCTCGAGCAATAAACTCTTATCAGACAAGCGTATAAAAGTGTGGACACAAATGAAAAGGTTTCTTGGAGAAAACAGCAAATATGACGTTTAAATATTTTCTTCTTTTCGCGTTTTTCTTCATCTCAGCTGATGGAACATGTAAGATTTGTACGGTTTTCTCAAATTCAGAGATTCAGCAGGACAATTTGCGTGCAATGCACAAGATGTGATGTTCATCTTTGACACGAAAACCGCGTCTCGATCGCTCGACGATTGGAGAGCTTTAGCGTAAGTGGATCTTTGAGGGATACTTTGTATGGTTGTTCTTTTGAACTGTTTGTGTGGTTTTTACAGAGCATGTAAGCCCGGCAAAGCCAAAAGAAGAAAAGTTCCGGGTGTGACTCAAACTCAAAGGCTTTTCTTAGCCAGCTCTGTAGTCAAGCCGGGCCAGCACAAAGTCACGATTCTTTTGGAACAAAGCTGCCATGTAGACAATTCCTTTCTTGACAAGTTACCTGACTATTCCTTTCAACAATTCCATAAGTCATCTTTTTGCCTACAACGGCATTTGTGTCGCAAGAAAATGAGTGTGGCAAAAATGCTTTTGAGCACAAAGTACACCCCAAAAAAACCCAAAAAAAGGAATATTTTGAAGTATAATTATTATTATATAAAGAAAGAAAGCCAAAAGGCTTTTGACTTTGGGCCTTTATATTAATTAATTAATCTACAATAGGCTCTATAATTAATCTTTTTCAGCGGCGATTTCGTGGACCAGTTCAACATGCTCGCTGACGCGACGTCGATCTATGCTCGCTTTGCCGGTGATTTCTTTGAAAGCTAGATTTACGGCAAAATGACAAAATTTGGTGCGTTATCCTACCACACGTTAACTCGGGTTCCCTACAACATGGTCTAATTTGAATAGATTTAAATGGTCTATGCAAATGCAAATCTGGTAGGGAAACAATGACGAGCACAAAACGTCATCTTTTCGTTCAAGCTATAAATAAAACGCCTGATCGTAGCAAAAAGGTACTTTGCTTCTTTGCAACCAAGTGTCCAAAGAGTCGAATATCGCCACGACATCCTTTCTTGCCACAACGCCATCGCGGGTTCGATTTGAGGGACAAAGTCATTTGGTGACCGTACTTGCACAGACGTTGAGGAAGTCAGTTAGTCAGCGGATATCCGTCAAGTAAATGAGTCAAGTGTTAAAGTAAATACGGAGATGAATCCGTGTGGTAGGGTAACGGATAAGCTAAAGTACCAAAAAGCTAAAGAAAAAGTACTAAAAAGCCATTTGTAGCTGTTCAATTCGGAATGGACACGGCTCGCCCGTCAACCAACTTCATCACACCATTTCCTTCACAGGATAATGATTCGGTAAATGGGAATTGATCAGAAGGCATGGGGAAATGCTTTTTTTGGTTTAAAACGTGACTAAGTCTTGCAAAAGCAATCAAATAAGAGTATCATTTGTGAGATTCATGCCTTTTTTTCAGATCGTTTTCGGTTTCGGCGACTACTACGCGCGTAGCGACGTAAAACACGCGATTGACGCCTACGTGCAGGAAAATTTGGCTCCGAACACCGCTATTGGACGGTTAGCAAAATCAATGAACACTCTGGTTGTCGAAACTTTTTGATTTTCTAGAATTCTAGATAGCATTTTATCTTTGATAGCTTTTTTTTACTCGTCACGGGCTTACTCAGAATTCCGTGAAAATTCAAAGATAAACAAAACTATTAGGTTGTTGCATATGTGCCATACCTCAACTTTTTCATTTCATCATAGATTTCTTTTATCTTTTTGCAATTATATAATAGACACATGAGAGATATTAACATGAAAATATGAAAATATTAAGATAAAAATGTTTCGTTCTTGATTCGAACCAATCCTTCAGCCAAACAAGGATATCTTTGACGGACAAAAACATAAAATTTACGCGTAATTTTATATAGAATAAGGTGCGTTGCAAAATGATAGGACCACCCCTAAATTTTACATTTTTTGGCTATGAAATTTAAGAACGCTAAATAGCGCTTAAATCCTAGAAATATATATCAATTTTTGAAGCGTTTATGATGGAATCGACGTCCAAGCTTGCAAAATGGCTTTTTTGAGTTGCGAAATCGTGTCGTAAGTCTTTCCATTAGCATAAATATTCCTTACAAGGATGTCCCACAAGTTTTCTATTGGGTTTAAGTTCGGTGAGTAGGCAGGCCATTTGAGAAAATTGATGTTGTGACGTCCCAGGAAAGATTTAGTGGATTGGCTGACATGAGTTGAAGCATTATCCTGTTGAAAAATATAGTTTTCCCCTCGGTTTTGTGCTAGGAAAGGAAGCAGTTCATCCGCAAGGAAGTCCTGGTCCTGGTAATCGTTCGAGTTCATGCGACAAGTCAAAAATTCTAAATCAAGAACGTCATCCACATTGAAGGCGCCCCACACCATCAGTGATTCTCCTCCGAAGTTTCGACGTCCACAAAGCATTGCATCCTTTCTCAAATCGTGCCAATAGTACTTGTTGCCGTTTGGACCATCCAAATTAAAGTTTGTCTCATCGCTGAAGCTGACCTACAAAGAAAAAAAAAATTGGTTAACAACTCAAGGCAAGAAGTCTACTTTTCTCCAATCGATGGTGATGTGATCCCGAGCCCAAGACGTCCTTTTTTTCTTTGTGCGCCGGCTTCAATTTTGATGCTTTCTTCATGATTGCTCTTTTGATGTAAGGCATACGCTTGACGGCTCGAGAAAAAGTGTTTTGTGGACGGGAGCTCCAATTTTTGCCATGACTTCCTGTAGCGACATCACCTAATTCGACAACAGACGCCCAATGTGCCGTTCAGTGGGGACCGTGAGCTTTTGATGACATCCCGGAGACTTCTTATCATAATTGAAAGGATTCTTCAAGAAATTTGCGATAACTTGGTGCGAGCGTTTCAATTCCTTTGCGATCTCCCGATTCGACAATTTTCTTGCTTTCAAAATCGCAATTTTCATCTGTTCGTTCCGTGAAAGCGCTTTTCCAGACCCCATTTTCCTAAAAAATAAAAATTAGTTTAAAAAAGCAAATAGAACAGGCAAAAAAAAAATGGTTATTACAGGAAGAAAATGAAAAAGAAACGTGGTGGTCCTATCATTTTGCAACAAAATCAAGAAATGATTAAAAAATTTTGGCTTTTAAAGTAAATGATTTCGTAAACGGTATTTGCGCGTACTTTTGTATATAGAACTAGAATTTAGGCGCCGTTTTGCATTTTTAGTGATTTAAAGTTAAAAATCGAGGGTGGTCCTATCATTTTGCAACGCACTGTAGAAGAATTGTACCGTTTTTTTAATGACTTTAGCAACCGAGCAGTACAAAAAATGCTATGCTAAAATGCTGAAAAACTGTTAAATTCGAGTTTGAGATTGAAAAAAAAATCGTTTTTTTGTCTTTTTCTGTATTAAGACCTTCCTAGAGTTAATTACTGTAAAAATCCGTTCTTTTTGAGTTCCATTATGATTTTGATTCATCTTGGCCAACAAAAATAAGCACATTTTTGACGAACCTCTTTTTTTCGAGAGCAGCAATCAACGTTTAAAGGCTTATATCAACGAGTGAGGTTTTAAATTCTTACCTAAACTCATGAATCTAGTAAAAAATGTCCGTAGATTTGAAATATCTATTAGGTTGATGCATAAGTCTTTTCGTTTTTTTCGTACTTCTGTTAAAAAGTAACAAATTCACCAATTAATCTATAGTTTGCTCTATAAAAAAAGTGTTTTTTGTTCAATTTCCATCTTTTTAAATCAATTTCGGTTCACTTTCAAGCAAATTCGAGAGTGAAAAACGCCTTTTCGTAAAAATCTATAAAAAACTCTACGGAAAAATTGGCTGAATGAATTTCTCTGAAATTTTGGCAAAATATCAAACTTTTTTTTCTCTATCTTTTATCTATTGACACGAAGATAGGTTTTCTTTAGCTAAGGTGTCTAAACCGCATCATCGAGTTAGCCCTTTTTGACTATCCGACTTCATACTCTCAAGAAAATCCAGGCATTAAATATTTTTAAACCCGTTTTAATGTTATTTTGCAGAAAAATAATTGGTTTTTCTAATGAAATCAACCGTAGTTTAATTGGTGCATTTGTTGGCTTGAAACGGCAGACGAAAAGGAACAAAAAGACTTATGCATCAACCTATTAAATGAGAATACTGTCAACTCTTTTGGTTGTCGAGAAAATCATATTTTTGTAGAGCGCAGCGCTATCTATGTCGCACCCTGTACTGTCACTTTTCCTTACCTTTAGAGCTCTCGACGTGGGGGAAAACATCTTCCGTCATGAGAATCAGTACAGCCCTGTGATCATTCTTTTCACCAACGGACTGTGAGTGGAGTTTTTTGGATTTTTGCGGCAGTAAATGGAATGTACCGCTTCCGCTCTACATTATTACATCTACATCTAAAACATTATTTAGTGCCGGGGACACCGATCTAATCGAGGCGCTTTCACAAGCCACGTATTTAAGGAATATCGATGAGGTCGACATTTGGTACGCTTTTCGAACTTCTTCACGCAAAGACATTTTTGGTGTTTTGGTCATTGGGACAAACATTCTCCTTTTTGTTGCTCACATAAGATAACAATGTACGCATCCGGTGCCGAGCGGAGTGAGAAATTAATTTTTGAAACAGTAAAAGCTGATCCTGGATTCTCACTCATCCCAACCAGGTGGCCTGGATGCCACCAATGGTGTTAATTAGACATGTAACGGAAACATCTGTCGGTCCCTTTTTGTCGTTGGCAATTTAAGGGTTTTCGTGTTTTTCTCAGCATCAACTCAGACTATCTTGCTTATCATTCGATGTAGGATAAATTTGGCGGCGAATAATACCAAAGTCGACCCAAAATATATTGTTCATGCAAAGTTGTTGGCTGAAAACCTAAATTCCTCCCATTATGAGCGGGGCTTCGAGATCATCCCAAGCTTTGATCAATGATTTCTTCAATGAATCGACAGTTTTGTGTGGTTTTTGACAAGCCTTTGCTTCAAGGACACTCCAAACCGACTAATCTATCGGATTGAGATCCGGACTGGCCATTCATTGAAAGCGATGAAATCCGGGAAATTCTGGGCGCACCAATTCTGAACAAAATGTGCCTTATGGCCTGGAACTTCATCTTGTTCAAAGACGACGTCTCAAGTGAGATTAAGCCCAAGGTAAAACATGTGTCTTCAGGATGTTCAGATACTCGTTTACGTTGATTTTCACTCCTGTAGGCACAAAGACGAGTGGAGCCTTTCCGTCGGCTGTGATCCCAGCTCAAATCATCAAGGAAGCGGGATGAGAGACTCGTTTCACTGTCATATCAGCGTTGCTAACGGCATAAATCCGATCATTTTGCTTGTTCAACCGTAAACAGCCTTTCATCCGTAAACAAAACATCGTGCTATTGCTTTCCTGGGGATCGCCGTAGGAGATCATGACAATGGGCCATTCGCTTTTGCTTGGCAGCACCGGTCAAACCTTGGCACTTATTTTTCTTGAAAGCTTTCATTTTTAGCTCTTTTCGCACAATTCACCTCATTGACGATTCGGAAATCAGCTTTTTTCGTGACATTCGGCGCTTCCTTCTGATTCGTTCCCCTTTTGCGACCACGTTGCGCTTTCGTCCTCTTCCCAAACGGTCCTGATTGCTTCCCAATGGCTTGAACCGTGAAGTTTTAAAAACAAGCCGTTCTCCCACTCTCAAAAGGTTTTGAATCGATCGTGCCGGAACACTGCGTTGATGGAGATTGATGATAGATTGACGATCAATGGACGGTTTCACCATTGCAGCAAACGATTGTCTAAATTAAAAAACATTGGCTAAACTTGTAAACAATGATAAAATAGTAAATAAAGCCAGAAGAAAAGAAAATAAAAACAAGAAAAATAAGAACCCACGAGCGTACCCCTACTGCCCATAATTTTGACGCACCCTGTTTATTCAACATCTTCTATTTGAATCAAACCCTAGGTCAATTGGTGAGCGTTTATAAACATTATAAACATTCAATTTATAAACAGATTTATAAAAATAATGGGTGGGGTTTAGGTTTTTAGCCAACAACTACTTTGCATGGATATTATATTTTGACTCGACTTTGGTATCGTTCGACCTGTGATTTTATCCTACAACGAATGATAAGCAAGAAAGTTAAAATAGAAGGGTTGGTGCTGAGAAAAACCGAAAAAACATTAAATTGCCAACAACAAAAAGGGATCGACAGATGTTTTCGTCACAAGTCTAGTGTTAATCTTTCCAAACAAATTTTTAGGGTTGTACTTGCTCAGGATGTAGAGGATTGCTCGTCTTGCTACTTCTTTGGCCTTCAACTCACCGGCAACAAAACCAATCAAGTCTTCAACTCGACGAGTGACGCCGTGCGAAATGATGCCATCTTTTCGGAGTACAGCAGAACGTACCCGTGTGCGGTGAGTGATTCTTAGACATGTTCAGGTCAAGCCTATAGCAAGGCTTACTATCAAAGAGATTACGGTAACCAGGGCATGCTTTCGAGTGGCTTTTACATATTGTTCTATATATGTAGCTCTAAAAATATAAAAAATTAGGCCAAAACTTAGACCCCAAGCCCTCCACCGGTGGCCGAGGTGTGCCCTTGCACGATCGAAACATCGTGGAACGATGTGATGATTTTGGCGGACGGAAGCAATAATATGGGGAGCAATCGTTTCACAGAGGTTACTCACAGCTTTTTTTAAAGTGCATAGGCTATGCACTGCTTGAAACGGAAAGAAAAATGGCTACTGTATTCGATGTTTTAGATGTGGGGTTTCATGGTGTCGGCGCTGGGCGAAGCGACTATCGGCCAGCAGGTGGCCTATCAAACGAGAGCCGGTGTCGTGGTTTACGGGAATAATGTGAGTTGTGAGCGGGAGTTATTTCGTATTTTCTTGCAATTTGGGCTTATTTATCCACAGTTTAGAATACTGTCAAAATGGGCCTTAATTTTCATCCCTCCTTTAACACATTCGGGACCACGGTACATTGAGAGGCGTTGACTCATCACTATTTTATTGATAATTTGGTGAAATTCAAAGATAAACAAAACTATTATAATCATTCAGAAGCCCTAAATCTCCGCTTGAAAACTAGTACAAAGCTGTCGGAAACTTTCTGCGAAATGAAGAACAAAATTCCTTAAAAACTTAAGTTGACACCGTGGGGCACAACGGGTCTAAAGTTGATTTTCTAAAAACTAAAAATCTAATCAATACCAATTTTTACATGCTATCCAACTAAGATATCCAACTAAAATTCAAAGTTTCATTAAAATCTAATGGTTAGTGCAATAGTTTGCCAGGCAATAGTCAGGAGCTCAATTTCTGTTGAAGTTTTTCATTCTGCTTTTTCCAAGATATTCAAAAAGAAATTCTTGTTGTTGTTGTTTTTATTGAAAACTTGTGAGCCACTTTTAGTGTGTTTACAATGCTCATAGGTAGCTAATTTTTACATCATTCGACACGTCTTTCCAAGCTCTACAGGATGTGGGATACCGCATATCGAGATTCCACCGCGGGCTCGAACCGGTTCTTTGTTAGTTGGATAGTATGTAAAAATTAGCATTGGTCAGATGTTTAATTTTTAGAGAATGGATTTTAACGTTACCGGTGACTCATTGTGCGGTGAGTCGTGTCGTCTGAATGAGTAAAAACGTTTTAGGCAACGCTATTCGCTCCCCTCAACAAGTACCAATCCACGGATCAATTTCTCTCGCAAATGTGGCCATTCAAGAACGAACAAGGCACAAATATTCAGGAGTACGCAGGGTCTTCTAAATTCCGAAATTCAGTCTTTTAGTGCTGTACTACAAGCCGTAGCCGAATTCCAAAAAAACGGTCGACCAAAGTCGAGAAAAGTGATGATCATAGGCGCGAGCACGTACAGGTAAACGCGTGTAATTTGTGCCCTGATAAACGCACGCATACTGCTATATTATTTATGATTAAAAACCTGATTTTCTCATATTTTAGAGAGGGCTCTTACAAACTTCCATTGAATGACATCCAGACGTTTCAGCTAAATCAAGGAGTTGTGATCGTTATCGGTGAGAGAAGAAAACAGATGAAAGAATAAGCAGTTTATAAACCTGATAAGCTGATAAAGCTGATAGAAACCTGATAAAAACTGAAAGCCAACCAAAAACTGAGAACTTGTACTCAACCTTAAAGCTGTAATGAGTGGTTATTTTACTAATTGTAAGTAATTCCAAATCCAAAGACTATCATCAATCTGATAGTTTATTTCAAAACTTCAAAGTTTGATATTTGCATTCAAAGTTTCACCTACGGTTAACCATTCAATAAGTGGTTTGATCTAAACCCTAAAGAATTTTACCTTTAAAGAGAGCCAGAAAGAGCCAGAAATACTTATCTTAGATTACGGAAACGTGGATGGGCAAGGTGCCGAGCTTCTCAAACAAATGGCTTCAACGGGTTTCTACATCGACGCCACACAAGGGGCACCCGACTTCTCCGTTTTGCAGAAACTTCTTTGCAATGGTTTGCTGACCTTCTGATTTGCTGAACACATTCACGGCGATAATTTTTCTTTGAATTTTCACCAAATTATCAGTAAAACAGTGATCGACTCGAGACTGTACAAGAAAAAACATCGTCGCGAAAATGTTCTACAATTTGTGTGAAATCTAAAAGATACACTAGCTTTAAAAATTCAAGATTTAAGCCTTTCAAGCGTTATTTTTGGTTGCTTTAGCCAATTGTTTCTGTCCGGGACAGGGTCAAGATGACGGGTATTACCCGGTGAGCGAAGCGAATCAAGACTGGCCATCCGGTGGATGTTTTTGGGTAAGGATCACTTTATTTTGGCTATACCGGCCCGGTTTGCCAGTTAGCGAGAATCGAGATTACGAAAACCGCATAAAGAACCCCTCCCCAATCATTTACACAGCGATTTCTCTTTTGCATTGTAGATGGCATAAAAATAAGCTATGAATTTGTATTTTGTGAATTTTTTTTGAGGGGTGAAATTGATTGATTCTACCAATGAAAACTCGGATCTAATTGATCTAAACTGTTAGATGAATTCGGAAATCTACTTTTTGTCAGATTCTGTGGGGGCTCACAAAGGATATTAGATAAAAAGTAGAGCCAAGCATACGGTCGTCGAAAAAAATTAGCATCTTTTAGAAAACGACGGAATTTTCAGGACTCCACATTGACCTCAATCAAAACGGTGGCCGACACGATTTGCCGTAGCACGCAGGCGGCCAGCGGATCGCTCGGACAACCGAAAACCCAGCTTCAGCAACGAACAGTCATTCAATGTTTGTGCCTTTATCGATTATGAATACATTTGATACAGAAATCTACAGGTTTAAATTAAGTTTCCAAATTTAGATAGCACAAACCTATCGCCAGCGAAACCCCCATTCTTCGTCGGGCTCACCCGGCAAAGCGGCAATTGGATTTGGGCCGATGGGAGCTATTACGATGCAAATGTTGTAAGCGACCGGAATCTTTGCAATACCTCTCATTTGTCTCATTTGTTTGTTTCTCCTCTGATTTGTCATTGAGTATCTTGATAGGAGAAATTGGAAGAAAAAAACTCAGACAATGTTTCTGTTTTGGGTTTTGAATAGATAAGCTAGGTCGAATAAACTAATAAGAAGCAATTCAATAATATTCCTCAACTTTACCTGTCTTTCGACGGCAATAAGGCTGAGGATCAAGCGAAAAGACGTCCGATGGAAAAAAGACGTCAGAATTCAGCTGACTCCCACCCTGACTCAACATTTTGGCTGATTTTGAAAAGTACTAGAGGCGAAATTTGTATACGAACACGAGTTTTATACCGTAAACCGCTGAATATTTGCCTATTCCAGTCTCGTTTTTCAATCGTACTTCTCCATTCTATTTCGTGTCCATATACCGTAGACCGAACATTTTCCAACGAGCTTAAAAATCGGGGTTTTTTTTGGTGAATTTTATCCACTTTTGACGTCATTTTTGATTTCTTGAGAGTTTTTTGATTTAAAAATCGATTATTTAAAGAATTGCTTATATTTATATCGATGATTTATAGCCCTTAAAATGCTTTAGATTTTGCTATTTTGCTGGAGTTGCAAAAATCGGAAAATGTCCGTTTCTTTTCAGAGTGGTCAAATCATCGACAAGGGTGGCGACTGTGCTGTGGTGCAACAACAAAGCGGTATGTTTCACGGATTGTTTGGGTTTCAGAGTTTGGTATAAAAATCTTTGATATTTGATAGTTTTCATGGCATAAACTCGAGATTCAGGATTCAATATCAACATCGCAAGTCAAGGCTGTACGACTGGGGCATATTACACGTGCCAAACAAAGCCCTGCACTACGGATTTCTATTGTGTTTGAAAATTGTTGTTGATAAACGAAATTGAATTCTAAATCAATCAAAAAAGAAACTGCAACTCGTCAAAGGTGTTTCAGCTTAATTTCACGTTTTGAAAGCATAAACATTGCAAGATCTAAAGTCTTTCGAAATTCAAAAAACTTAAAGCTGTAATCTTTACCGTCGTCGAGTGGTGGCGCTGATCCCGGCACTGGCGGCGGCGGCGGCTGCCACACATGCAGCGGCTGCGGGGGCGGCTCTGGCGGGGCGTGTTGGGCATTCGGCGACGAGGCGACGGCATGGAGTCATCATCTTGGGCGTGTTGGGTTCTTCTTCTTGGCGAGTTGGCGCGAGGCGTTGAAACTTCTTCTTGTTGGTTTCCCTTACGCGCTGAGCTGGAGTCGGCTTGGCTATTTTCTTTTTGCAGGGTGGGCGGCTTTGGTATCTTTTCGGAATCAAGTTCCGTGGCTTTTCTTTTCGCCGGGATCCCACACTCTTCCGCTTTAGGGCCTTGCCTTCTCGGGTGGGGACGGGGGTCTTTCTTTTACACTTTCATCATTAGCGCATATCCTCAGGTCTTCGGTCCCCAACAGGTGCGTGGGGGACCTGCAGAAGTTGACTACCCACGTCTAAGCCATCGACTCTCTTCTCGGCCCGTGGCAAAAAGTGGATGCCGTCAACACATTCGTCCTCTCGCGCATCGCCTTCCGTCTCTGGCTAAGATCACTGTGTAGTGTGGGTCGCTGGCTAAGACCCATCGCTTCTGGCCTCTGGCTAAGATCAATGTGTAGTGTGGGTCTCTGGCTAAGACCCATCGCTTCCGGCCTCTGGCTAAGACCCATCGCTTCCGGCCTCTGGCTAAGATCAATGTGTAGTGTGGGTCTCTGGCTAAGACCCATCGCTTCTGGTCTCTGGCTAAGACCCATCGCTTCTGGTCTCTGGCTAAGACCCATCGCTTCTGGTCTCTGGCTAAGATCAATCGCTTCTGGTCTCTGGCTAAGATCAATGTGTAGTTTGGGTCTCTGGCTAAGACCCATCGCTTCTGGTCTCTGGCTAAGATCAATGTGTAGTGTGGGCCTCTGGCTAAGACCCATCGCTTCCGGCCTCTGGCTAAGACCCATCGCTTCTGGTCTCTGGCTAAGACCCATCGCTTCCGGCCTCTGGCTAAGACCCATCGCTTCCGGCCTCTGGCTAAGATCAATGTGTAGTGTGGGTCTCTGGCTAAGACCCATCGCTTCTGGTCTCTGGCTAAGACCCATCGCTTCTGGTCTCTGGCTAAGACCCATCGCTTCCGGCCTCTGGCTAAGACCCATCGCTTCCGGCCTCTGGCTAAGATCAATGTGTAGTTTGGGTCTCTGGCTAAGACCCATCGCTTCTGGGCTCTGGCTAAGATCAATGTGTAGTTTGGGTCTCTGGCTAAGACCCATCGCTTCCGGCCTCTGGCTAAGACCCATCGCTTCTGGTCTCTGGCTAAGATCAATGTGTAGTGTGGGCCTCTGGCTAAGATCAATGTGTAGTTTGGGTCTCTGGCTAAGACCCATCGCTTCTGGTCTCTGGCTAAGATCAATCGCTTCTGGTCTCTGGCTAAGATCAATGTGTAGTTTGGGTCTCTGGCTAAGACCCATCGCTTCTGGTCTCTGGCTAAGATCAATGTGTAGTGTGGGCCTCTGGCTAAGACCCATCGCTTCCGGCCTCTGGCTAAGACCCATCGCTTCTGGTCTCTGGCTAAGACCCATCGCTTCTGGTCTCTGGCTAAGATCAATGTGTAGTTTGGGTCTCTGGCTAAGACCCATCGCTTCCGGCCCCTGGCTAAGACCCATCGCTTCTGGTCTCTGGCTAAGATCAATGTGTAGTGTGGGCCTCTGGCTAAGATCAATGTGTAGTTTGGGTCTCTGGCTAAGACCCATCGCTTCCGGCCTCTGGCTAAGACCCATCGCTTCTGGTCTCTGGCTAAGATCAATGTGTAGTTTGGGTCTCTGGCTAAGACCCATCGCTTCCGGCCCCTGGCTAAGACCCATCGCTTCTGGTCTCTGGCTAAGATCAATGTGTAGTGTGGGCCTCTGGCTAAGATCAATGTGTAGTTTGGGTCTCTGGCTAAGACCCATCGCTTCCGGTCTCTGGCTAAGACCCATCGCTTCCGGCCTCTGGCTAAGACCCATCGCTTCCGGCCTCTGGCTAAGATCAATGTGTAGTTTGGGTCTCTGGCTAAGACCCATCGCTTCTGGGCTCTGGCTAAGATCAATGTGTAGTTTGGGTCTCTGGCTAAGACCCATCGCTTCCGGCCTCTGGCTAAGACCCATCGCTTCTGGTCTCTGGCTAAGATCAATGTGTAGTGTGGGTCTCTGGCTAAGATCAATGTGTAGTGTGGGCCTCTGGCTAAGACCCATCGCTTCCGGCCTCTGGCTAAGACCCATCGCTTCTGGTCTCTGGCTAAGATCAATGTGTAGTTTGGGTCTCTGGCTAAGACCCATCGCTTCCGGCCTCGGGCTAAGACCCATCGCTTCTGGTCTCTGGCTAAGATCAATGTGTCGTGTGGGTCTCTGGCTAAGACCCATCGCTTCCGGCCTCTGGCTAAGACCCATCGCTTCCGGCCTCTGGCTAAGACCCATCGCTTCTGGTCTCTGGCTAAGATCAATGTGTAGTTTGGGTCTCTGGCTAAGACCCATCGCTTCCGGCCTCTGGCTAAGACCCATCGCTTCCGGCCTCTGGCTAAGATCAATGTGTAGTTTGGGTCTCTGGCTAAGACCCATCGCTTCTGGGCTCTGGCTAAGATCAATGTGTAGTTTGGGTCTCTGGCTAAGACCCATCGCTTCCGGCCTCTGGCTAAGACCCATCGCTTCTGGTCTCTGGCTAAGATCAATGTGTAGTGTGGGCCTCTGGCTAAGATCAATGTGTAGTTTGGGTCTCTGGCTAAGACCCATCGCTTCCGGCCTCTGGCTAAGACCCATCGCTTCTGGTCTCTGGCTAAGATCAATGTGTAGTGTGGGCCTCTGGCTAAGATCAATGTGTAGTTTGGGTCTCTGGCTAAGACCCATCGCTTCTGGTCTCTGGCTAAGATCAATCGCTTCTGGTCTCTGGCTAAGATCAATGTGTAGTTTGGGTCTCTGGCTAAGACCCATCGCTTCTGGTCTCTGGCTAAGATCAATGTGTAGTGTGGGCCTCTGGCTAAGACCCATCGCTTCCGGCCTCTGGCTAAGACCCATCGCTTCTGGTCTCTGGCTAAGACCCATCGCTTCTGGTCTCTGGCTAAGATCAATGTGTAGTTTGGGTCTCTGGCTAAGACCCATCGCTTCCGGCCTCTGGCTAAGACCCATCGCTTCCGGCCTCTGGCTAAGATCAATGTGTAGTTTGGGTCTCTGGCTAAGACCCATCGCTTCTGGGCTCTGGCTAAGATCAATGTGTAGTTTGGGTCTCTGGCTAAGACCCATCGCTTCCGGCCTCTGGCTAAGACCCATCGCTTCTGGTCTCTGGCTAAGATCAATGTGTAGTTTGGGTCTCTGGCTAAGACCCATCGCTTCCGGCCCCTGGCTAAGACCCATCGCTTCTGGTCTCTGGCTAAGATCAATGTGTAGTGTGGGCCTCTGGCTAAGATCAATGTGTAGTTTGGGTCTCTGGCTAAGACCCATCGCTTCCGGTCTCTGGCTAAGACCCATCGCTTCCGGCCTCTGGCTAAGACCCATCGCTTCCGGCCTCTGGCTAAGATCAATGTGTAGTTTGGGTCTCTGGCTAAGACCCATCGCTTCTGGGCTCTGGCTAAGATCAATGTGTAGTTTGGGTCTCTGGCTAAGACCCATCGCTTCCGGCCTCTGGCTAAGACCCATCGCTTCTGGTCTCTGGCTAAGATCAATGTGTAGTGTGGGTCTCTGGCTAAGATCAATGTGTAGTGTGGGCCTCTGGCTAAGACCCATCGCTTCCGGCCTCTGGCTAAGACCCATCGCTTCTGGTCTCTGGCTAAGATCAATGTGTAGTTTGGGTCTCTGGCTAAGACCCATCGCTTCCGGCCTCGGGCTAAGACCCATCGCTTCTGGTCTCTGGCTAAGATCAATGTGTCGTGTGGGTCTCTGGCTAAGACCCATCGCTTCCGGCCTCTGGCTAAGACCCATCGCTTCCGGCCTCTGGCTAAGACCCATCGCTTCTGGTCTCTGGCTAAGATCAATGTGTAGTGTGGGTCTCTGGCTAAGACCCATCGCTTCCGGCCTCTGGCTAAGACCCATCGCTTCCGGCCTCTGGCTAAGATCAATGTGTAGTTTGGGTCTCTGGCTAAGACCCATCGCTTCTGGGCTCTGGCTAAGATCAATGTGTAGTTTGGGTCTCTGGCTAAGACCCATCGCTTCCGGCCTCTGGCTAAGACCCATCGCTTCTGGTCTCTGGCTAAGATCAATGTGTAGTGTGGGCCTCTGGCTAAGATCAATGTGTAGTTTGGGTCTCTGGCTAAGACCCATCGCTTCCGGCCTCTGGCTAAGACCCATCGCTTCTGGTCTCTGGCTAAGATCAATGTGTAGTGTGGGCCTCTGGCTAAGATCAATGTGTAGTTTGGGTCTCTGGCTAAGACCCATCGCTTCTGGTCTCTGGCTAAGATCAATCGCTTCTGGTCTCTGGCTAAGATCAATGTGTAGTTTGGGTCTCTGGCTAAGACCCATCGCTTCTGGTCTCTGGCTAAGATCAATGTGTAGTGTGGGCCTCTGGCTAAGACCCATCGCTTCCGGCCTCTGGCTAAGACCCATCGCTTCTGGTCTCTGGCTAAGACCCATCGCTTCTGGTCTCTGGCTAAGATCAATGTGTAGTTTGGGTCTCTGGCTAAGACCCATCGCTTCCGGCCTCTGGCTAAGACCCATCGCTTCCGGCCTCTGGCTAAGATCAATGTGTAGTTTGGGTCTCTGGCTAAGACCCATCGCTTCTGGGCTCTGGCTAAGATCAATGTGTAGTTTGGGTCTCTGGCTAAGACCCATCGCTTCCGGCCTCTGGCTAAGACCCATCGCTTCTGGTCTCTGGCTAAGATCAATGTGTAGTGTGGGTCTCT